AATTAACTTAAAAACTGTTATCTTGTAACTTCAATGCTAAAAGGCTGACGAAATTTTCTTTGTTTTTGTATCAGTTAGGAAAATGTTTCTTTCAGCTGGGCATGGATTAAGATCATTGATTGTTTGTGATATCTTAACAGATTGCTTCTGGTGGTGATATCTTAACAGATTGCTTCTGGTGGTTACTATTTTTAGTGGACAACAGATAACCATTAAAAATGGTTATGCCAAGTTCTAAATGTTGAGAAAAATCAACATTTTTGAAAGATTGCACTAAATAATGTGTTCTTTTTCCGATTGCAGCATCACAATATTAGTTACCATCAGCAATCTTTGTTGATATGGGTTCTTGTACAAGTGATACATTATTGACTATAAATGGTTTCACTGTTGATTTTTGTGGTTATCTCATGACACCTTTAAATATTCTTGAGTTCTTAATTAAAAAAAAGGGGGGATGCGTTTATTAATTTTGGGAAATATTTTTCACCCACCCCAAGCTTATTAAGACCTCCCCGTATATTAATTTTTGCTTGTTATCAACAAAAACTTTATATCTCAAAACTAAAAAAAAAAATCAGCCTGAAAAATTAAAAAATGTTTCTTTTAGTCACTGATAAAAACTAAACCCACGCCCTCCTTTTTTTTCTTAAATCTAGACTTAATCCTCCCCCTTGTATAGTCATGTTGTAGTATCTGCTATGGAGTGTTGTTATTTGATTTTTATGTTTGAAAGAGTAATTTATGTAAGTTTTTTGTGTATTAATGTTTTTTGTGTATTGATCAGTTTTTTGTGTATTGATGCTCCTTTTTCTTCTGATTGATGGTAATGCATTTCTGAATATCAATCAACCTGAGTCCAAAATAACAAGTTGATTTCCAGCTATAAATGGGTTTTGAGCAAAAAATCATGATATTGTTTTTTTTTAATGATCACTATCATGTTTTATTCTTCCAGGATACATTTCTTTGTGTTTGTCAACAGTTTTTGTGGAGATGTTTGTGTGTTTATTGCATCACTTCTGTGCATCATAGCAATGTTTTTGTCTACACCCTCAACACATTTTAAGTCAATCCTTCACCAATTACCCCTGCTCTACCTTACAGTGACTTCATCAGAATATGTTCAATTGCTAGATCAGTCCATATCCTTATTATTATTATTTTTTTTTCGGTTTTTCTAACAGTGTGATACCTTCCATGTATTGCTCCTAAATTACAGGGTGTTCTATTAGGCAACAAAAGTCAGTAACAGAAGGTAAAGCCTGCATGATTTTACAGAAATATGTAACATCTAGTTACTTGTTTTCTCTGCACAAACAAATTCTTGGACCACAGTCACTTATTGTAGATAATGTAACCATAAAGATGATGTTTGTGAGTTCGATGAATGATAATCTTTTTTTTCTATATACCAGCTCAGCAATCAAACAGCCAGATCATTACTTTCTTGAAAACAAGGATTTTCTGGACCATACATTTCTATAAAATGCTTCTGCTCATTATCATTTGAATTATCTAAAAACTTTTTTAATATCAGTTAATTTATTGCTAATGCACATAAAAAATGGCCCTGTATAGCGAGTAAAAATGCTTTTCCTGTTTGTATGTGTCCTAATGTTAATTGAGCATATACTGTTTCAAGAGCGATTTCTCAGCCACTTCCTTCCATTAAGGACTGGCAAAGTTGACTTTTTAGAACTCAAATTTAAATGAAAGATGAATTTAGATCATATGTGTATACTAAATTTAACTGAATGAAAAATTTATGTTGAATATTTAGAACAAATTTAACTGAAAGACGAATTTGGATTTTAAAAAAACAATAAATTAAAAGAGAAATTTAAAATTAAAGAAATTAAAAAAAAAAATTTGTTTCAAGTGTTCCAAGTAAACCTAACCGTTTTGCCACGGAGTACAACAGAAAAGTATTAAACTAGGAAGTTCTAACCATCCTTACACTTAATGTTTTTGAACTAACAGAAACAAAAAAACATTCGCAACATTTATTGAAAAATTTTAATTGTCAATTTTATAAAGGAAAAAGATCGCAGGTGAATATTAAGTTTAATATTCACCTGCTTTTTATGTTTAGGATTTTTGAAAGCAATAAATAAGATTTAATAAGTGATGAACAGACTTAGTACCTAAAAAAGACTTTTCGAATATTGACTTTGTAAGACAAATTTATTTCCAACATGCTTTTTTTTTTATCCTACTGAATTTGTATTCCCAAGGCCAATTTAGCCACTTTAGTTGACGAAGCTCCTTCTTATACTGGTTACAACCTTTTCTTAACTCTTTAACCCTGAAACATTTTTTGGAGTTAAAAAGTTAAGAGGGTTGTTACCAATAGAAATAGGTTAATACACATAAACAATATATTTTATAATTATTCTTCTTTATAATTTTGAATGAAACTTTATAGTTTTCGAATTTAACTGAAAGCGAAATAAAATTTTGAAATTGTTACCAAATTTAACTGAAAGGCGAATTTCTATTTCAACTTAAGTACCAAAGTCAAAGCTGAAGTCAATTTCGCTTTTCAGTAAACTTTGTAATCCGAATTTTAATGAATATTTGCCATTCCTTATTTTCCATCATACATCCAATCGAACCTAGAAAGTTATAAGTTGATAAAAACCTCCTAGCTTAAAAAATATTTTCAAATTTTTTGAGGAGACTATTTCTTATGTTTTTATGTACAGTATTAGAAACAAATTATTATTGCGGTGTTGGAGTTTTTTGAGCCAAAGATAGCAAATAGTTAAAGTTGGAGATTTTGTGTCAGAATGGGAGGATATAGATAGTGGAGTCCCTCGAGGCTCAGTTTTAGGTCCACTATCCTTCATTGTATTTATAAACAATTCATTTATTAAAATCAAAAATAACAGCCAACTATTTGCTGGCGATACGAAAGTGGAGCAACCAAAATATTATGTCTAGTTAGTTATGGTCTAGAAAAAAGAAATTTAAAAATTAAAATTGCCTTCATGAAAAAACAGAAGGCAGTGGGGTAATTTAATCTAAATGTTCAAATTAGTAAAATGAATTGACAAAATAAATTTGCATAATCGAATTGAATATTTTAATACTAATGGTCAAGCAAGAGATCATAAATAGAAATTCATAAGTAAAAACACAAAATAACTGCAAGTTTAACACAATCAGTCAAAAAATTTTCTAACACAAGAAATTAAGCCAACAAACGTAAATTAATTTAAAAACCACATTGATAAATACTTTTAATCTCAGATTTTGTATATTGTCTTTAATCCTTGTTAATCTTTTTGGCTGCTAAAGACTGAAATTCTACTTAATTTCAGTTTTAACTCTTATGAGTTACTGTGTCATTTCTATAAATTCTACATAATAAATAAATAAAATAATAAATATATATAAAACGTCTTTTGTTATTTTTTTGAAATAAAGTTACTCCTTGTTTTGTTTTTTGTTTAAATTAAAAATAATTTTTTTTAGGTATGGGATGCATGTTCACCTGGAGCTATATCATTCAATTCTCATGATATTGGTTCAGATGATGTTGCGTATATCATTGAAAACACTGTTATTGTTGAGAGTTGTTTAGCAAGAGCAAAACAATTAAATTCAGTAATTGATATATGCTTTGGGAGTAAAGTTGATAATATCCATTTTCCATCAAATGAGGTTTATATTTATAGAAAGTTTTTTTATAAAGTGTTTAATCTAATGTCTGGTCTTCAATTTTTTTATACTAACTTTTAAAATGTTAATATATTGCTTATGAGAAACTTGTTTAAAAATCTTTTTGAATACTCAATAATAAAGAAATCTATTTCCTAGGATATTTGTTAATTTAGACAGAAGCTAGTGATGAACTTATTTCACTTAGCTTACCAAATGGAAGCACCTACAAAACAAAACTTCTTGTAAGTAAAATTAAAACTCAAAATTTAAATTAGAAATTTTTTACCTTAATAAAATTAGAAAAAAATTGTCCTAATTTTATTATAAACATGTGTTATTTACTATTTATATTTATTTACTATAAAATTCTTTTTTAAACTATTTAATGCATAAATTTAGTAAAATAAATTTAAACATACATTTTTTAATATATAAAATTAACTAAAATAATTATGCTTATACTATAAATGTATAATGAAGTTACTTAAATTAGTTGGGTGTAGATGGATCTAATTCTTTTGTGCGAAAAGCTGCTCATATTGGTACTGTCAATTATGATTATAAACAATGGGCTCTTGTCTCGACCTTGCATATTGAGGTAAATCATTGTTTTGACAAATCACTTTAAAATATAAGCTAATCATTTTCTAAGAATGCAGTTTTTGAGTTGCAAAAAGTCATTTTTCTTTCATTCTTTTTTTTTAACTGTAGGAAATTGCTTTTGCTAACTTATAGACATTCTTGCAATTTTTAGCATACTGAAAATAAAACTGCTTGGCAACGCTTTCTTCCTACGGGACCAATAGCACTATTACCAGTAAGTTAATTCTTATTTGAAGGTAAGTTAGTTATTTAATAAATAATTGCACTGAAAATTATTTTTCAGTTAAACAATTATTTCAGCAGCTTAGTTTGGTCTTCTACTAAAGATCATTGTCAAGAATTAATGAGCATGACTGATGAAGCTTTTGTTCGTAGCATAAATGAGGCATTTTTGTCACAAAATTCAAATAAAGTTACAGAAAATACTGCATGGTTTTTTCGCTCAGCTTTGTCTATAATGCAACCTGGTTAGTATAAATGCATTTTACTTTTTTTTTTTTTTTTTTTTTTGTTTAATGCTTATTTGGGAGCGCATGGTTTCAAATATTTATACTATTTTAGGTCGCTATGCTTCTATTAAACGAATATCGCCCCCTCAAGTTATCCAAATGGTTAAAAATAGTCGTGAAATGTTTCCTTTGTTTTTAACTCATAGCCCTATCTATGTAAAAACTCGACTAGCTTTAGTTGGAGATGCTGCACATCGAGTTCATCCAATGGCAGGGCAAGGGGTAAATTTAGGATTTGCAGATGTTTTATGTTTGGTTCGTGTTTTGGAAGATACAATGGCTTGTGGTGGAGACTACGGTAATTTAAATTAGTATATTTATTTTTAAAGTATAATTTATAATTAACTTTAATAAATACAGTAGATAACCTTTAGTGTATTAAAAGAGTTAAATTTTAAAACAAAAAATAATTACTGTTTAGGTACTTTAGAAAATTTATTACCATATGAAACTCAAAGACAGCGTCATGTCTTGCCAGTTATGCTTACAATTCATTCTTTAAATCATTTATTTTCTACAAGCAACCTTCCTCTAGTGCTAGCAAGATCATTTGGGTTGCATGTTACAGATTCTTTATCAGCTGTTAAGGTTTGCAATTTTGTATTTGTATCAAAGTTCAAGAATAACTTTTTTTGGTTTGTTGTATATTTGGCTTCCAATTTAAACTCCAAGTTTTACTTTGGCATTAAAACCTATGAACTCTAAAACTATTTATTAACTTCATAATTTTATAAAGTGAAAAAAATATATTTTCAAGAGTCCTTGAAATTTTTTTAAATATTTTCGGATCTTAAATGGCTAATTAAAATTTTAGCATTTCCTCAATTCTGCTTTAATTTAACACGTATTTTATTTTCAGTAGCTAGTCATTAAAAATAAGTTATTTAGTGCCATTAACTTTAATATATTATTATAATAAAATATTTTTCACTACTTTTTTTTTAATGTTCTTACTTTATAGTTTTATAGTTTCGTTTTAATTTTTAAACTTATTAACTTGATTTATTCATTCTCTTCTAGAGAACGAATGAAATAAATTTATAAGAGAAATAATACGAGAAAGATCTTTTTCTTTTTTTTTTTTTCTAATATTTTATTTCTATTTTTTAAGCTGGTAAGCTCGTTTAGTCATATTGTTTATTATTTGTTCTCAGTGTTAAGAAGTTTTAATATTGTTTATACTGCCTATAAAACATGTTTTATTTTAAATGTGTATGAAAATATTGTAAAATGCTATATAAAACAACAAAATAATATCCAAGTACAATTGGTCATAGGAGCTAGGTATGTTGAGCATGTTAACCAGGTTGGTTTTTTGAAACAGTTTTTTAAGAATATGTTTCAACCCTTAAATGTGTCTGATACAGTAAAATAACACTGTATTGAAAAAGCGTTTGACTAAAAAAATTTTTTAAAGGTTCCCTAAAACTTTTAGATAATGAGTTCTTAACATCATCAACAACATCAAAAAAGTTCAAATTTATGTCAAGCTGAATCTTAAATAAAGCAAATTTATATAAAAGTTTCAAAAAATTGTTATGTACAGTTTCCAACATTCTAAATATAAAACAAGTATGAATGTGGCATTAATTTGTCTTTAGTCACCTAAAAAACGCTTTTAGAAATTTGCTTTTATTTTAATCTTTAATTTTAATTTATTAATCTTAAATATTTGCAATTAATAAACTTATTTAAAAGCTATAATATTATTTTAGAATTTCATTTCAAGACAAGCAATGGGCTGATACTTCAAAAGAAACAAGTTTTTGATAAAATGGTACAAAATTAAGATACGCTTGGAAATATTTACTTTTTTTTTTTTGTAAATCTTTAAAAGGCATTAAAGTTTTTTTGCGAGTGTGAAAGTTTTATTTTTCAATTAATATTGGTTTTAATGAGCTGTTTTTTGTAACTAGCACTGAATCAAAATAATATTAAAATAGTGGTCAAGACCTTTTAAGATATTTGGCTAATTCTTAAATAAAGATTTTTTTCTTTTGAATTTTAAATTAGTGGTTTTTATTATTATTATTTTTTTAATGTCTATCCAACGGTAGATATGCTATGGTTTGTATTTAGTATAACTACATTGTATTTAGTATAATCTCCATGGTGTTGTTTATATTGTCACTTCGTATCCTAATCTATTATATTATTTATATGTTCTCAATACTCTTTAAAGGTATAGCTTTTATTCTGAATAGGTCGTCCATAAAGTACGCCAAAAATTTTGAAATTCTGAGTAGGTCGTCCATAAAGTACGCCAAAAATTTTGAAATTCTGAATAGGTCGTCCATAAAGTAAGCCAAAAATTTTGAAATTCGACTCCTTCCCCCTGTTGCCAGTTTACTTTCAAGTCCTCTCCCCTCCCCCTGCTTATAAAGTATCTACATCCCCCCTCTCTCTCCCACTCCACCCACCCCCTCTTTCTCCAAAAATTTTTTTTTTATCGATGAAAAAGTATATGGTAAAAAAGGTGGAAGAGGGTTTGATACAAAATTTGCCCCCCTCCCCCCTCTTACACGCTTTCGTACGCTTATTAAAGACCTCCCCCTCTCCCCTACGAGAGTACGTACTTTATGGACAACCCCATATCTTAACGAATTGTTCTACATTAAAATTTAGCGAATTTTAAGTCACAAATTTACAGTTTTTGATGCGTATTGCTCGTAAGTATATCGCGGTATATATTATAAACAAGAATGATTTCCAAAAACCGCGGTAAATAAGCCTGATAACGAAGGTACCTTATAAAGTAATCCCTTTTTGTTACTAATTGTAAGGATCTTGCGTTATCAATATATATTAAGTAAGTAAGTTGTATTAAAAAGTTGAGCGACGTATTGTATTTAAAAGCTATGGCCGTAAAATTTACGACACCTTCATTTTGGGTAGGATTGAAACTTCGCATTGTCCTAGCGTTGGAACCCCAAAAGATTATATAATGAACTTTAGAACGCACGGGTAAAAGAACCATTGAAAGGTTAGAGAGTAGCATTTCTGCGTAAAAGCATCACTTTCCCTAGTGATTAAGTTTTTAAACGTTAGGTTCTTCGTTATTAGGCTCATCCAATTTACTTTTTATATTCAACTTCAAAATGCTCGGTTTAGGAATCTCATAATGCATGACAAGTTAAACTTAATTTAAAAAAATAGTTATTCAATTTTTTCTCGACGTCATTAAATTAATAATCTGCTCTAAGGTACACTTCTTTCAACATGATCAAGTTCATCCATTAATCTTAAAATAATGCAACGTAGCTTTATCATATACACTATATTTTCACAAAAAGTGGAAACTTTCGAATCTAGCACCAAATTTTGAGGATGGTAGTACAGAATATTCGTCAGATTATCGGCCAATACCTTTTTTTTTTTAACATTTCAATTTACATTAGTTTGTTTGTTTTTACAATATAATGAGAGTAGATAAAATATAATACAATTTATAAAATAAGCAAATACTACTAATATTTAAAAAACTAGGTATCTCTAAAAAGACAGTAAGATCTTATCGTCAGAAACTTATACTAGTGTAAACAAAATATAAGGTCATGAAATAGTTATAAGTACAGCCTATTAAATTAAAATATACATACACATATCACTTTGTAGTATCGGGTGGACGCGGAAAAATCCGGTCAACTTTAAATTGATCTAAAACCATAAATGCTTTAAATTTCAGTTTTTTTTATTATTAAATGTGTTTACATAAATTAGAGTTTCAACTTAACTTTAAGGGCCTTGATGGGCTGTTTGGCAAGAGATCAAATTTTACAGCGGGTTGATGCCATCATTTCACAGATTTTTTATTTTTTCACCTTATTGGTGGCATTAATCCATTTTTTTTTTTTGGAAGTCCTTTTTATTGTTTGTTACTCCACCTGTCTTAAAAAGAGCTCCTTTAACTATTGCCCACAAATCTTCAATCTTGCGCTCATAAGGACGATTTGTAGGATTCACATCTTTAGGAACAATTTTTACATTATTATCTTTGCACCACTGTAGAATTTTTTTAGAATAGTGAGAGGCAGCAAGATCTGGCCCAAAAAAACATCAGTATTTGTGTTTTTTCATAAATGGTAAAAGTCTTTTTTGGAGGCATTCTTTGATGTAGAGATTGGCAGTCAAGGTCTTCTTATTGACAAAACAAGAGGACTATATACCACAGCTACAAATTGCTTGCTACACAAGGAGTTGGATGCAAAATTTTCTTGTCGAATAAATTTAAATTTATCATTGACGGGTCTATCTTTGTTCTCATAGTAAAGTTGTTGACCAGAAAGCTGTAAAAATTCAGCCTTGCAAGATATTTCGTCTTCAATTACGCACATACTTTTATCCGCCATTATTTTAACCGATTTCTTTGGGCGTCGAAATCCCTAAACTTCACTATTTAAGCTTCTCTTAAGTGTATTTTTTTTATGAAATACTTTAATTCGTGCATTTTTAAGTACTTTTTTGATATAAGAACGAGAAGTCTTGAATTTTCTTGCTAGATCTTGCTGTGACTGGTTTGGATTTCTTGCTATTGAACGTAAAATCAACTTTAACTTTTTGAATTTATAGAAAGTTTTCTTTCTTCCATTTCCAAGTTTGCTTTCAAAGCTTTGAGTAGCCTTGAACTCATTTATAATATATATGACAGTAGATTTTGGGACATTTGTGCGTTTAGCAATCAAGCGATATGAAGTCGATGGATTTTTCCAAAAAAAATTCATAACTTTTTTACGCACCTCAATTTGATTCCAAAACATTTTGCAAATCATAAATTTGTAAATAAGAGTTTATCAACAACATTAAAAATAAGGAAGTAACGTTTAATTAAAAAAAATTGAAATAAAAAGCATTTATGATTTTAGAGAATTCTCAATTTAAAGTTCACCGGATTTTTCCATATAGGCAATAAAATATAATAAATATTTCCATAATATAAATATTATTGTCAAATTTTGATAATATGAGAGAGTAAAAGATTTTTCAGCTTAATTTTAAAAATATGTAAAGAAGTTGGTAGATCTAAATTAAAATTACGCAAAACAATTTTATTCCAAAAATGGTGCACGATAATCAATACAATACTGGTTAAAATTTGTTCGACAAAAAGGCTCATATAGAAGGTTGGTATTTCTTAGAGAGTATTTATTGGCAGGTTTCAAGGTAATTAGATCATTAAAAACGGCTCGAGAACATATATTTTTATATATGTTTTATATACATATATTTTATATATGCCAAGCATAAAATATTAGAAATATTAGCTTTCGTAAATATTAAATACTAGCTGAGATCGGACCCGTAAAAATACGGGTCTTTGTAAGTCTATTCCAAACCGAACTTTTTTATACTTTTTCCTTATATATCCTAGCTTTCCGGATCCGTAAAATACGAGTCTTTACAAAACATACCATTTCTATACACATCTATTCCACACCGATTATTTCTTTACCTATTCCTTATTTACTTCAATATTTTTCAGTAAAATAATTTTGTTCTGAAAAAAAACTTTAAGAGCAAAAAAGTTAACATGCTCACCTTTTTCGCATACATAGAGTATATAAGAGTCTTATAATTAGGTTTGTTTTTCTGCTAAATACATTTCATTGATAGCTCAGTGGTTAAGGGCGCTGTCATCAGGGGGTTTAAGACCTCCTCATTGCGTAATAAATTTTAAAATTTCTTTAATCTTGCTAATATATTTATAGTAAAAAAATGCTAATATAGCAAAAAAGGTTTCTAAAAATTAAAATAAAATTTAAAAGCTTTCTCATTTTATAGATATGTTATACGCGATTATTCCATATAATGCCTGCAAACTCAACATATGCTGAAGACGTTTACACTTGCTGACGTTTGTACGTAATTCTATACAAATGGAAGTAAGAAGATCTTAGACCACTTAAACAAAGTCATAAAAAAAAAATTCATTCTTATGATTATGATTAAAAACTAAAAAATAATATTAATCTAAAATTTAAGCAAAAAAAAGTTTGCGAATTGAGTCGGTTTGTGGCAAAAAAAAACTTTATGCGTCAAGTGTCTTTTGCATTTATCATACATTTTTTGATTAATTTTAATTTTGTCGCTTACAAATGCATAAAAATATATAAAACTCGTACAGATTTATCATTTTAGCGATATTTTTATTTATTTATATTTTTAATTTTGCCGTAGAAAGTTACAATTTATAAAATAACGTAAAACATATTAAAACATATGGCTGGAGCAAGAAGAAGACATCAGTTTGTTTTATTACTGAGCGCCATTGTGGCTTCATTACAGGTCGTTTTTTACAATAAAATATATATAATCGTGATAAATGTTTGTGATAAAATATATATAAAATGTGTAAAACTACGTTTCACAATTGATATAACTGTTTATATATAAATTCGTATTGTAAAATAAATTTAGAACAAGGAAAAGTTAAAGCAAATAACAGAAATAAATTGTGCTAGTTTATATTATTTTACTAAAAAATAAAAAGAAAATTTAAGTCCGTAAATAATAAAAAACGCTTTGATTCAGTTTTAAACTGTTCAAGTTTTTTTTTGATAATAACAATCTGGAGAACAAATTTCCACAAATAAGGTGCGCGGTGTTGGATTGAGCATGAATTTACTTTAATGTAAATTTTAGGATGACAAAATTGTTATATGAGAACCTAGTAGGATGTTTATGACTTAATTTGCCAAAATAAGGTTAAAATATCGGCAAAGTCTATTTTTTATTTTGTATATAAACTGTCAA